CACACGACATGGCCGCCCAACTCGGAAAGAAGAACTACTTCAGTGCAGTATTCCTGGATCTGTCCAAGGCCTTTGACTTAGTCTGGGTTGATGGTTTGCTTTTTAAACTTAATAAACTTGGCATTCGGGGTCGCATGTTCAGGTGGATCCAAGACTTCTTAAGGGATCGCCAGATACAAGTGAACGTCGCCAATTCTCTCAGCGAGAAGCACTCGTTGGAGAATGGCACCCCGCAAGGCTCTGTTATTAGCCCAACCCTCTTCAGCATTATGATCAATGATCTGGCCCTGGATTATGTAAAGCATATAGAGCTCTCGGTTAGCACGGCTCTATATGCAGATGACAGTTCGATATGGACTGGTCACAATGACCTCAATAAAGTTAAATGGCGTATGCAAACTGCTCTGAACCAAGTTGCTAAATGGGCAAACGACTTGGGCTTCATTATTTCGGAAGCTAAAACCGTCGGTTTGTTCTGCAGCAGAAAGAAAGATCACGACAGTATTGACCTTAGACTGAATGGTGTGAAGATTAAGCATGAGAATTCAGTAAGGTTCCTGGGAGTACACTTTGACAGGTGTCTTACTTGGAGTACGCATATTGACTATATCTGTAACCGGTCTACAAAAATCTTAAATGTTATGCGTTATGTTTCAGGTACCACATGGGGAGCAAACAGAGAAACTCTAATGATGATGTACAGGTCACTGGTTCGTTCAGTTATTGATTATGGTTGTATTGCCTATGGTAAAGCAAGTGATACTCAACTGAAGAAACTCGACGTTCTACACATGAGAGCTATACGTATTGCCACCAGGGCAGCTGTAGGTACGAAGAATGAGGCGCTACTTCAGGAGGTGGGAGAGAAACCCCTCTCTCTTCGGAGGGAGGAGCTATCTCTCAAATTCTGGGGGAAACTTCAGTATTTGTCCGAAAGCTGTCCGACGTATTCCAGCATCAGAAGATTTACTCGTGTCGGAAATAACCAGAAGAATCGGAGTATTTCTTACGGGCAAGCGGTCATTGATCTATTGAGAGAGCATCAGCTCGATCAAGTAACGATCCTTGAACGCCGCCTATCGGCTACTCCGTTTTGGAAGGTTACCAACCCGACAGTCAACACCCAGCTGATCCAGAGTACCAACAAGCACGAGAACCCAGTGGGAGCAAGAGCTCACGCTCTTGATCTCATTGATTCCGTGTACGCCGACCATTTGAAGATCTACACCGATGGTTCCAAGAGTAGTACCGCAACAGGATACGGTTTGTGCATCCCAGCAAAAGGCATCCGCATCAGTAAAAGGATTCCCCCGCACTGTTCAGTGTTCACAGCAGAACTTTTTGCCATCAGGGACGCGGTAGCATGGCTGTCCGTCAATCACACGGAGCATGCCGCGATTCTATCCGACTCGCTAAGCAGCCTCCAATCTATTTTTCTCACCTCTTCTAATTGCAGGTCAGAAGTCATTTCCGAAATAAGAAGAATGATCCACAACTACCAAACCAACAACAACCAGAAGATTGAATTAGTATGGGTTCCATCGCACGTCTCCATTCCTGGCAATGATCAAGCAGACCGTTGTGCCAAAGAAAGTCTGAGTCTGGAGGATATCGAGCCTGTAGAATACTCCTATTCGGAGTTCTGCAGTATCGTATCTTCTAGGATCAACCAGAAATGGTCAAACATGTTACGGAACCTCGACACCGCAAGATACCAGATTGATCCGAAGATACCAAACCAAACCAAACCAAACCAAACCATCCATGTGTAGCCATATGCAAAGTGGCAACCAGACTCCGGACC